TACTACTACTATTACTACTATTACTACTACTACGACTACCACTACGACTACCACTACCACTACCACTACCACTACCACTACCACTACCACTACCACTACCACTACCACTACCACTACGACTACTGCTGCTGCTAAGAAAAAGAAGACTAGTACTAATAGTTGTAATACTACTAACAGAAACCTAAAACAAATAACAACAATAACATTAACAATAACAGTAGCAGCGTCACTAACAATGGCAATAACAAGATTACTAACATTAACAACAAAACAACAACAATAATCACGAACAACAGTAACAATACTAATACTGCTAGAAATACTAATAAAAATAAGAGTCGTAGTAGCAATCATCATGATGGCAATAAGAAGAAGTAGTAGTAAACCATATTTGTAACAGAACAGTACTAATCATAATATTAGCAAATATATTAACCAGACTAACAATAGTAGTAATACCAATAATACAACAGAATCGGACAGTGTGGTAATAAGAGAATGTTAAACCTTAATAAGAGTATTAACCGTAATAATAGACTAGTAATTTATACAACTAACTAAAAATCAACCACAAAGACATCAATCAATAGATCAGGTCGATAATTGATAAACGTCGTAACAATAACAAGGGGCCATTCTCTGGACCAAGCCCTGTGTGGCTGATACCGGCTTCTGCCATTTCATCGAATTGCCGGCTTGGCGAAGCTAATGGCGCAACCCTAAACCCTGAGTTTGGGGTGTATTATACCAGAAGCAAAATAAGAGACCGACAACTTGGGCACCCTATATATTAAGCCCTAAACCCTAAAGCCTGAGCCCCTCAACCCGGCCGACGCCAACGAAGCTCCACGGCTCACTGCGACCCAGCTGCATATGCAGAGAAGAAGCCCATGAACATGCAGAGAAGGCAGAAAGAGCCGAAGACCAGCGACCGAGCCTCTTTTTCCAGCTCTGCGGATTATCGGGGTTGGTGTTTAGAACTTAGAGCTTCCTTCTTTAGGGCTGTGGCGTTACAGAAGTCAGTTGCAGCATAGCGAACTACATCATGATGTGATGTAACCATATTACGGGGACGGGTTTTGCTGATGAATTTTCGGAGCACTGCCGGTTCATCCTGGGACTTGTCATTTTCCATCTGCTTTTCGCGTCTGACCCGGATCTCTTGAAAGGATAAGTGGGGCCAAAGGTCCGTTCTGATGGTCATAGTGGTGGCAGTTTGGGCGAATCCAACCAAGCCTCCCGATGTATCCCTGTCTGACACTGAGACGCCGTGTGAAGATCTGCAAATGGTCCATGGTCTCGAGGAATGCATTCAGATTCCACAGAGCAATCCGGAAAAAAAAGCACCAGTGTGGAGGACCGCTGTTTTGTTGCTGGGTAGCCAGCATGTGCACCATACAGGCTTTTTGCTGCATTCAGTGCTCAAAAGTGCATGTGGCTAGTGGCTATGCATGCGGGATTGTTCAGTACCTATATGTACATCGATTCCCGACAAACAATGCGTCTGACCAGCTGCTCAAAACTACCATGGCCACCAATGTCGGCATGCCTATGCTGTACAAGATGCCCCCAGGCACCTCGGCTATCACTTTACAAATTGTTGACACAGAGATGGCCACATGTATCTTAGTAGATCAGCTGCAGCACCAACTCCCACTTGCCAGATGGGGACTCAACTCCCATGACCGTGGCGCCGAGGCCATAGGCATCGTAAGGGCCACCTGTGTCAGAGCCGAAACTTCGCGCATTCGGCTTGAAGCCCCATGTCTCACTGCATTTCTGAAGCACGCAGTCCAGATTCTGGCCCAGAGTCATCTGCTCGCTGCCAAAGTTCGAGGTGTCCACATCCTTCTTGCTGAAACAAGACTCAGCGAAGCGGATGAGATCCGTCTCCTGTTGCTGCGTCGCATCACCCCGGTGGTGGCTATGCACGGTCACGGGAACATGGCTGGCATTGTCGGCCCCCACTTTTAAGCCGGTGTGCCCCTTGCGGAGCATGAACTGCCAACGCCCGGAGGGCGTCTCGACCGCAATCATGGTAACACGTGAACCGACTCCGTAGATGTCATAAGGACCGCCTGTGTCAGACCCAGAGCCCACAAGTTCCGGGTGCCAGCCCCAGGCCGCGTCCAGATTGGTCAGCACGCAACCAGTGGCCACGCCCAAAGTCCCCTGGAGCACCACGTCACCCTGGTTGGTCTGCACCGCATTCCGTGTGAAACAGTCCTGCGTTGCCTTCAAGATGTCCCCGAGATGATTGTCATCTGCCCAGCCTTGCAGAAGGCACCTGGTCGAGATGCTCGTGCGACTGAGGAAGTCTTCTCGTGCCAACGCGTGGCACAGGAGTGAGCAGAAAAGGGCCTTTTGCATCATGGCAACCACGGCAGCGGAGGTGGCTGTGCGCAATGGGCCTACTATGCAGATTGGGGCTCCAGTCCTTATGACAGCTACTGAGCAGACAGGTTACCGGATCCAGTAACGGATGATCAGCAAGCCTGAGTGGCAAGCCACCGAGACCTACCAAAAAATACCCTAAAACCCTACAGCCCGCCTTTAGTAAGACCATACCACAAAATAAAACCGCCTTGAAGGACCTTACCATCAGCTTTCCACGGGCTTGGAATCCTGGCAGACTACTATAGGGGCCTTAATCATGTCAATAGGTACTGAGCGTACATCACACTATAAATCTAGTGCAGACGCTGGGGTTATACTGATCCGACCATTATATTACTACCAGCAAGATCGAAAAAGTGTGCAAGAAACCTTCGCTGCTCTCAGCCGACGGAAAACCCTCTTGCCGCCAGAGCACCGCATGGTGGCGGTTCTGCACAAACTGTGCACGATCAGAGGCCGACCCCTGCGACGATCCCACCTCCAAGGCAGTACACACAGTCAAAGGTCCAATACAATTGCAGCATGGTTGTGACTATTTTATACCATCGATAGTTGTGGTCGCGGTGGTCGTAGTGTTGGTGGCGGCGATGATGGTGCATCGCCAGGATTGCAACACAGGCAGTGAAGATCGACTAAGATGATGTTAAGTGACGGCGACGATGATACCAATGAAGACAGCTGTGGCAACATTAACACTATGACGACGCTGGTAATGATGATGATGATGATGATGATGGTAACGATGATCATGGTCGTGATGATGATTATGACGATGATGATGACGATGAAGATGCTGATGACGGTGGGGGGGGTGGGGGGTAGCGATGCATGTGATGACACTGTTGTTGCGGCCGTTGTTGAAACTGGCAGCGATGTTGATTGTGGTGACGAGGTGGCAGCAGCGGCGGCGGCAGCAGCGCTGCTGCTGATAGCGACTATGACAACAAGCATGGTGGGACTCATGCTGCAGATGCTGCTGGTGACGATGATGCTGAAAATGAATACGCAGAGGCCAAGAATATGATTGAGGATAATCTTCCTTGGTGAAACTAGCAAGGGCCAGGGGCAATGATGACGCTCATGGTGATGGTGGCAATGATGATGCTGATGATGATGATGATGATGATGCTTGTGCTGAAAGTGATGGTTGCGATAATGGTGTGTCTGGTACAGACAAGGACGGTGATTCTGACTGCAATGATGCTTGTAATGATGGTCACGATGCCGATGACGAAGAAGATGCTACACTCTGAAATGGTGATGCTAAGATGCTGGTGGTGGTGGTGGTGGTGGTGGTGATGATGATCATGCTGACGAAAGAGTGATGCTGCTATTGACGGCGATTGGACGTCGACGAGAGTCATGAGCACGACGATACTGACAACGAGGCCGACATAATGATGATGGTTGTGGCAATCAAACTGTCTCAGGTGACCCTGACACTGCTCATGATGCTGTGGTTGTTGTCCTTGCGGTTGTTGTCGTTGCTTTTGCCGTTGACGTTGACGTTGCCGTTGTTGTTGTTGTTGTCGTTGTCGTTGTCGTTGTCGTTGTTGTTGTTGTCGTTGTTGTTGTTGTTGTCGTTGTCGTTGTCGTTGTTGTTGTTGTTGCTGTTGTGGTGGTTGTGGTGGTGGTGGGGAATCATGGTCATGACGACGACATGAGGGGGCAATGGCGATGATGCTGGCATGGCGGTGACGACGACGATGCACATGATCAATGGAGGTGACTCAAGTCCCGAATATGCATGTCGAGACAAACGCGACCTGTGACAGGAGGGGCTGCCGCTCATCCACTTGGTGTCGTTCCAAGAGCAACCTCAACAAAGCACAGCTTGCCTAGACTGGGAAGCAACTGCAGCTAAACTTGCTAATGGTAGCAGTGAGGGTATTGGCCATAGTGGTGATGACGATAATGTCAATATATGACAATGATGATGAGGATGAAAACGGTGCTTGGCGTGATACAGAGGAGGACAGTGATGGTGATGGCTGTGGCCATGATCATGACACTGATGATGATGCCGATGATGATGAGGGTGATAAAGAAGTTGGCTGGGCTTGAGTCGGGGGACGTAACAACATAATGGTATTGATTCTCTGGTGAGAAGGAGGCGGATGAAAAGGAATAATATGACCTTGCCGATGATGAAAATGGTGGCATGAAGCAATCAAGGAGAAGGCACGGGTGCAGGCGCAGGTCAAGCCAGGTACCGCCTGGCCTGCTGATGATCCGGCAGCTGAAGCTCAAACTTGAGGCGAGTAACACCCTGGTTGTCAAGACCTCCATTCACAAAGACCCTGATCTTGCTGTGATGTTGTGGGTCGATAGTTGCATGCCGCTCCGAAAAAGCCCCAAATTCTCGACTCCGCGGCAGATACCCATACTCGAGATGCTTACGCCCGGAAGGGCATGCCCTAACAACATGCCAGAGACAAGGTCCACATTAAGGGGTGGCTATTGAAAGCATCCTGCTCTTGCGGATGTCGGTTGCGACCTTCTGCTTTCATACTCTCCGAAGCGTTACTGTCCCGAACATTGGACCGCTAGCCCCAACCGAAAACAGCACCTAAGATCCGACATAGAGGTCGGAACAAGTGGGGGTTTGCAAAGAAAGAGGGTACCTTATTTTGGGGTTCTTATAATCAGGCTCCTACTATTTAGGGTACTATGTTAGGGTCCCCTATTTTCGGAAACCCCCAACTAGTAATAGTGCTACTGTATCCCCGGAGTCTCACTGATATAACCATAGTATATGTACCAAAGCCCTGTGCTAATTTGTTCTTCGGCCCCTACATCGAACCTATATATAAAGTAGAATATCCCCCCCAAAGTCCTAGTCTGGCTATCCTGCCCCTCTACAAACACCCTGCAAATGTCCTTATCAAAAATCCCTCACCTGTGAAAGCTCGTGCAGCTGCTTAGGCTTATCACAATAAACACCACTAAATATATATACCCGAAGCCCTGTGAACTCTAAACCCCAAACTATATGTGCATTTGTATATATATATATAGAGAGAGAGAGAGTGTGTGTATATATATATATATAGAGTATATAGTATATATATATATAGTATATATTTATATGAAGCAATAGTTCCAGGAGCCGATCAAAGTCGCCCTCGACGTAACGTCGGAAATAGTTGGCAGTACCGGGGTCAAAGCCCAGGCCCAAAAAAGACCTTGGTGTTGACTCACTGAAAATATGTGTATAGGGTCCGGCCTTGGTTCTTGCTTGGTGCTGACTCATGGGGTGCATGGGCTAGGAGGGATGCGGTTTGCTTATTGAATCCAGGGATTATCCTAAAGCCGCAGAGACCTTTCAGCTGGTCCACGTCTCCCAGAATGTAAAGCTCGGTATTCACGCACACACACACACAAGTGTATGTTTCTTGTACGGTTCGCACTAAGCTCTGCATATAAGCTGCATGCCAAACCCTAACCCTCCAGGTACCTACTATATAGGGCCCTAGGGGCTCTAGTACCCTATATAGTAGGGAACACACAGCTGTGCCACGTGATGTTGCGCCCTTCGGGCTGGTTCAGAGCTCCAGCCCAGTCGCTCATACAAGGAAGATGCAATAGGTGCAAACAGCTAATGATTGCTAATATATGTATGTGTATATGCATACACACACATATCATATATATATATATTGCATACATACATTGCTGGTGATTTTCTAATCATGTTGTACCTGTCAATACATTTACTCATGCACCTGCCGCCTATCTACTAACCCATAAACTTGGAATCATGTTCATTTCAACCAGACAAAAGCCCTGTTTGCTTTGCGCCGTTATTGAAATCGTACATAGTTGATACATATACCTTTCTCTCTCTCTCTCTCTCTATCTATCCATCTATCTATAACTTTATCTATATCTCTATCTATCTGTCTATATGCCTGTATGCAGTTATACATGCATGTGTGTATGTATGTATATATATATATGTAGGTATGTCGATATATGCATATGCATGTATGTATGTATGTATGTATGTATGTACGTGTACCTATATATATATATATATGTACTCATGTTTGTACACACAGACACCCATGCAACATCTTTGGCCTCTATGCGTTTGCACATCTAATTTCTTGTAAATTCATGGTTCATATCTCCAATATCCCAGTAGGGTCAACATGACTGCTTTCTGTACCTGTCGATCTTAACTAAACCTGAAAGGCAAACTCAGCTGAAACATCGATGGGTAAACTCCGAGCCCGCGGCATCACACCATGCGCTCTCGGGACGTTTGCGTCGTTTGCAGGTTCGGTACGAGTTCACTCGTGCGGATAGATATGAAGGCTGCGGCAAGCAAAGAATTGGCACGCGGAAACTACAGCACTATTCATCAGTCCCACTTGCATGAAATCGAAAGAAACTTGAAACCGAACCGAACTGCCTCGCAACCGTCCAAAGAGAGGCCCATGTCGACACCGCAGAGTACCAACCAGGATTGCTAGCTGCCAGACAGCCCAGAGGCTCATGGACCCTCGAACGTTCACCTGGCACCCCAATCGGCCCCAATTGGTTTGCTATGTCCTCCAGCCGCTTCTCGCGAAGCGACTTCTCATCTGTGAGCTGCTGCACCTCTCTCGATTACAATCGGACATGTATATAGGCGGAGCGAGAAGCATATGCAACACAGGTCGAAGGAGCAATCTGTACCTCAGTGTAATTTCTGCTGCTGCTGCTGCTGCTGCTGCTGCTCCTGCAGTAATTGCCAGCGACCTTGGAACCCCAACCCCCCGGCAAAAGCCGTTTAAAGAGGGTTTGTACACAGTTCTCGACCCCCCCTGATCACGCCAGAAAAATGATTGAACGAACCTGTTTTTAAAAATAACAGGTTTAATTAACAACCGAAAAAGATTTTAATAAACTCCGGTTATACTCATATTCCTCAAGCAGCAAGATTTTATTAACAAACGAAAAGATTTTAAAAACCTGCGAATTCAGAGGCACCTCGATGAGCAACCTGCGCATTACCCAGAAAACTTGAGGCATCTTTTAAAATCTCAGGCTCGGGGGTGGGGGGGTCTGAGTTGGTTGATGAAGTAACATTGACAAACCTCCGATGGTGGTAGTAACGGTAACCTCGATAGTATATTACGGTATGTTACAGTATGATATAGTACAGTATAGTACAGTAAAGTCTATTATGATTCGAAATAGAATATGCTTTAAGATATTATACGGACTCAAAACCTGGAACACCACGGCGACCCCCAGGGCAAAGCAAACAAACAGACCGCCCCAAACCACCCAAACCCCTATGGGTACTCCTGTAACTTAAGGTCCCTTTTGAGGTCCCCAAAACAGTATGGCACCCTTGTAAGAAGGACCCTAACAGGCACCCTAATTTAAAGAACCACCCACATACCACGTTAAAACCCTAAGTCTTGGCATCTCTAGAGCACTGAACCCTAAATCCTCAACCCCGCACCCCACACTCCTGACCCCGAAACCCCAAACCCTAACAACCTGAACCTAAAACACCAAAGCCAACGAACCTCGAACCCTCAACCTAAACCTTAAACATTGAAAACCCTCAACACTCACAAGTGCATGGCGCAAAACAACCCATATCCTGAACCTAATGGCAACCCCTACACCCGAGATCCTATCTGCCTGTCTACATACCGACATGTCTACAAAACGTGTAACACAACCTTAAACCCCCCATAAAGCCCCAAAGGCCGCAAAACCCAAAAATCCGAAAACCTGCCTTCGCACGGAGGGCGGCCTCTCGCGTTTCGAGGTCGGCCAGGAGATCACTCATCTGGCTCTTCGGCTGCAGGTTTGGGGTCTAGGGTTAAGGGGCTTTTGGTTAGGGTTTATAGTGCAGGGTTTAGGGGCTTAATACTAGTGACAATAACTGTCGGTACTAAACATCATCATGATAATACTGGGTCCATCGCATTTTATTGCTAAACCCTAAACCCATTTTTTTGTCGGCTGTGATTTCTCGGATTTAGTGTTCAGGGCTTCAAGTTTGGGGTTTTGAGTTCGGGCTTCGGGCCTAAAGTTTAGGGTTTAGGGTTTAGGGGGGGAGGCCAACGCCCCTTAGTTGATTGAAGAATATCCCTATCCCCTCAGGTACCTACTAGAGAGGGCACTAGAGCCCCTAGGGCCCTATATAGTAGGTACCTGGAGGGTTAGGGTATACTCTATGTCATGATTCCTTGCTTGTCGCGTACGGGGTTCATCCGGCTCTGGGCTCGCTTCTTCGTAGTACCTGTTTAAAATTAAGATACTATGTTCATTAACACCACTAGGGTTTTCGATTTCTGGCATTACTATGGTCTTTTATTGTCCGTAATTTCGCAAGCAATCCAACTGGTCGAGTTTATGTTGATAATTACATGTGTATCTGCATTATCCATCTGACTCTAGGGTTGTTCATTGTTATTGCCATGCAATTGTTACTGTGCTGGCTCTGATACTTTTAAACTGCTACTATATTAGTCAGTGTATTTTTGCTTCTTGCTAAAGGAATTATCGCGACTATGCTCAGGGTTTCATGCGCTTTTTTTTTGGGGGGGGGGCTTTAGGGTTTGGGCACTTTAGGGTTCTGTAGTTTAGGGTTTCAGGGCATAGGAGCCACTGTATCTTAGAAGCTCCAAGGCTCTTTCATAAGGACTTTGGCCCCGGGCTTTCCCTTAGCATCATGAACTCTGCGCCCTCTCAGAAGGTAAGCAAGATAGATAAGATTCGGAGACCCTTCCAGAAAGTAAGCAGCGCTCATCAGCTGAACCTATGCAGAGGAAACTGCATGAACTTCTTCCGTAAAACTGCACGTGTTGTCCTCATTTCAAGGCCTCCGGTCGCCCTCGCGGTGCAGCTGCGGCCGCAGAAGGGCCCAAGGAAAAGGAGAAGTGGTCCTGGATTGGGGGTGCGTATGGGGATTAGGGTAACGATTTCGACTACCTTAACCTACCAGAACCAATTTTTTGTAGGGTCCCTATAAAATCCCATATAACAGTTTATAGTAGGAACCTGCAAAAACATGGGTTATGCTAGACTAAGGTGTGGTAAAGGGTCTATGCGCTCGGATGACATAAACCAGACGATCGACCACCCGAAACCCTGAAGCTGCTTAGATAACCCTAAAACCAGCAGAAACGATAGTGACCTTCATAATATAGGCCTTATGAATTAGAACAGGGTTTTGGCGTACATCAAAGTATAAATGTATGAGGAACCCTAGGAATAATATTGGTAGTTGTTCGGCCTCTGGAGTAATTACCGACCCACTGTTCGTAGCTTTTGCAACGCTTATCAGAACAACCCTACACCCTAAACTCCTTATAGAGTCCCTTTCAATCACCTGAATAAAGGTCAACCCGCCTCTTTGGGCCCATGTTGTGGACGTGAACGGTGTGGGTGCGTTCGGGGTGGACGGTTTTTAAAGCTGCGACACGGACCCACTAATATCTCTGTCTACTGTCAACATTCATGTTTGGGAGTTACTGATGTTGTCCTTAGGGCCTACCTTAGGGCTTCATTCGTTGGGATGCGCTCGTAACGCGGGATGGCTGTGGGCAATTAGGGTGGCCGGGGCGGGGTGGGGGTGATGCCCCAAAACCCAAAGTCCTACATACCGGAATCCTCGAAAGCTCCTGAATAGGCACCTGAAGCCCCAAACCCTATTCCCGGTTCAATGCTCCTATATGCACCCGTAAAGCCGTATACAGAAGCCTAAACAATGATCAGTGTGATTCCTTAGCATTCCGTGGTAACAGAATAAACCCTAAGCCCTAAACCCTAAACCCCTAAACCCTAAACCCTAAACCCCTAAACCCTAAAACCCTAAACCCTTTAGAAATTCCATCTGATAGTCCGTTGTAGTGATCCTTGCGTGCCTCTCGCCCGGATCGTCCGCAGTGACTGCTTGCATAAAGCCCTAAACCCCTAAACCCTAAAACCCTAAACCCCTAAACCCGAAACCCTATACCACTCTCGAGCTGAGAAAGCCCGTATGCAAGGGTCTCCTCAGGGGCCGCGGGTGTGGTCCCTGCCAGTCGTCGGCCGCAGTGGCGGCAAAAATTGACATCGGACCTCACTGGGTTTAGGGGTTTGGGGCTTTTTTTTGGTTTGGGTTTAGGGTTTAGGGTTTGGGATTTAGGGTTTAGGGGTTTGGGGCTTTTTGGGGTTTGGGGCTGATGACTCAGGGTTGACTGATCATGTCGCACCTACATCAAGCTATGTGCTCTTGTATTAAGGTGAAGCTTTCTCGGCTTGTTCCGCTGTTGTGCTTGTTTGGGTGACACTGCACGCCAAGCTTCTTCGGCCTTATGTTTCCAAGCCAGTTTTGATCATGGTCATAGACCACGGTTTAGGGGTTTAGGGTTTAGGGTGCATTTGCAAATGCGTGTACAACTGCACGGCATAGCCACATGCATCTGCAGCTCAGTGAAGCGTGTGCGCAGGTTGTCGTATGCTCAGGGGCATTCTTGTATTTATGTACGTAGGTACGTATGCATGTAGTTACACAGCTGTGTGTGAACTTGCCTCTCTGTCCATCTGCATATGTATACTAAGAGACATAAAAGATGTACATCTACCCGGAGCAATAGCTGATACCCCAAACCCTAAACCCTAAACCCCAAACCCTAAGGCCCTAAACCCTAAACCCCAAACCCTAAACCCTCAACCCTAAACCCTAAACCCTCAACCCTAAACCGCGCCACCCTAAACCCTCAAACCTCAAACCTAAACCCTAAACCCTCAAACCCTAAACCCTAAACCCTAAACCCTAAGCCCTAAACCCCAAACCCTGAACCCCACACCCTAAACCCTCAACCCTAAACCCTCAATCCCAAACCCCAAATCCTATACCCTCAACCCTCAACCCCAAACCCTAAACCCTGAACCCTAGAGGCGAGTTGAATTGAGATCCCTTGCATGTCCAAGTGCGGTTTAGGGTTTAGGGTTTAGGGGTATAGGGTTTAGGGGTTTAGGGTTTCTAGATTCAGACCGAACTCCCCGACTTCTTCAGACCCTCAAGCCTCATAAGGAGCCTTAGGGGGGGCTAACTGAGGGGTTCGGGGGCCTTAACACCCATAAGAACCTGAAAAGCGGTTTAATAAGGCCTACTCAAGGAAGTGGAATCCCCTACCTGCCTGATCCTTACCCCCTAAGCTTCCTCATGTCATGACAAGCCCTCCGAACGCGTCGACAAGCCGAAGCATCTGAAGCAAGGTCGTGGATGCTCTGCTGCTGGAATGTTCAAATAATGATTGTAGCTCGGAATCTAGGGCAGCACAGCATCGTACAAGTGTAGCCCAGTTTGGAACCAAGGCTTGTGACCAGTTTTGTTTACTGATATTTATGTTATTGCTGTCAGTATTGTGCTCATTATTATGATGGTGATGACCACTATCGATAGTCTCATAATTTGTTGTATCAGGATACAAGGAGCTTTCTGCGGGTTCATGGTTCCAGCACCAAAGCTTCTCGGACAAACTGATGCCTATGGGTCCATGTA